AAATGACTAATCACGTGTGTGTTGGACATCATATGTCTTTATCATCCATTTTTTGTTCCTCCTATCAATAGAAACCAATAGCATTCAAAGACAAGGGTCATTTTTATAAATAACTCTATACTTATATTTTTCATTCATAATCAGCTTCAAATCTCTCCTACTACCGATGACACACTTAATCACAATAGCTATGACTTCCTTCGCTCTTAAAGATCATACGAAGTTGAAAATAAGGAGGATCCGAAGCTAGGTCAAACCTAACTAGTCCGCTTCCCTTTCTTACGCCTAACTCTTCATCCTTGCTATCGTAATGATTATCATCCTCTTCATTCGAATCATAGTACTCCTCATTCAATTCTTTTTCTAGTTGTTTTAACTCTTTTATTAATTTTCTTCTCTCCTTATTCCCTTTCACATTTCCCTCTAAATTTTCTTCCACATTTTTCTCGTAAGTTTCTAACCACATTTTTCCCTAAGTTTCCCTCCACATTTCTCCCTAAGTTTTCCCCCAAATTTCTATCTAAGTTACCCTCCAAATTTCCATCTAAGTTTCCCTAAAAAATGACCTTACTTTTACCAACTAAAACCGACTTTATCTTTTTCAAACTTTCTCTAATTTCTCTAGCTTCCTTATCATCCGACACCCATTGTACATCCACCTAATATTCCGCATCTTTCACATTATCATATAGATCATCATCAACATCTAAATCATAGACCACCATACTCTCTTTATTGACATTCCCACGACCCACCATATACTCTTTTTTAAAGTCCCAATGCCCACCATACACTTTTTATTTAAAGTTTCACTACCCTCCACACACACTTTATTTAAAGTGCCACTACCCTCACCTATTCCCACACATTTAACCCGCCCATATTGACCTACATTGACACTATTACCCTCACTAATATTAGCAACACCATGGTTACCTGCATGGATAATGCTACCCATATTTTTTTGTTTTGTTTACTTCTCGTCTGAACTACCCTCACCAATCCACTCGTCCATGTTTATTTAGTCCTAACCTTTTACATACGAGCTTTTGGATTATCATAACCAAGCAATAGGTGAATTGAATCACTTCTCTCATAATATGTATCAACCGTCAATCTTTTACACAACTTATTACATATATGCAAACAATTTTTATCATCATTAACTTTTACAAGACTTTGTTCAAAATTCAATTGAGAGTTTAACTTCCTATAATAAATAGCCTTGCATTTTTCATATCCATAATCCTCGAGCATATTCTAAAAGCCCTCTAAATTGTATTAAATTAGGATCTACATTAACTTTCTCAATAACCTCAACTTCACTTAAAAACAAATAGTTTTTTTTTTCTATTTTATAATAATCCCAAAATGAAGCCTTAATGTTGACATTACAAGTCTTACAGATCCTTAAGGATACATAAAGACAAAACATAAAAAACACGTAGTCAAGGCCAAAGATAAAGGCAAATAAAAAATTTCAAACAATAAACAACACATACAAACATTAACCACCAAGCGAGATCCATATAATTTATTCGAAAATTAAAATTGTTTCATAAACTACAAACAAAATTATTTCCTAAATTGCAAAAAAAAACTTCAAACACCACAAATACATATTTAACTAATAAATAAACATAACAAAATATTAAACCCATACAATAACAACATATTTTGACAAAACCCTTAATAAAATTTCACCCAATATACGAAGTATAAAAAAGAAAAAGAAAAAGAAAACATAGTAACATACCCCATTTTTGGAGTCGTGATTTGTTTTAATCAAAGATGAAAGTTAAATAAAACAAAAAGGCAGAAGGAGAAAGAGAGAGTAAAGGCTAAGGGGAATGATGATTAGCGTTTGAGTTTCACAAAATTGAGGGAATGAGGATTAGGTTTTGGATTTTGCAAAATTGGAAAAGCAGAATAAAGGGGGATGATAGTTAGGGTTTAGGTTTTGTGAAATTGGGAAAAGAGAAGGAGAAATTGGGATTGATTGCAATTGGAGGTAGAAAACAAAGAAGAAACAAGCGAGAAAAATTTGAAACGAATGGAAAGAGAAGGAGGAATTTGGGGATTTTTTGGGTTTAGTGGATAAGGGTAGATTGATATTTTCATAACTTATTTTAAAGTTTATTATTACTTTAATAATTAAAAATCCATCGGACTTTTTTTAATTTTCGTGGAAAATCAATTTAGGCTCGCTTGCCGGTGTCAATCATGTCATTGAGTAGACCTTGTCACGTGTGCCTACGCAAGTACATTAGGGTTGGAAACAATAAAAAATTAATAATATGATACTTAAATTGAACGAGAAAAAATTTAGGATCTCAATAAAAAAAATTCGAATTGTAAGGGGTCTTGATATGCATAAAATCTATTTTGTATATATATGTTTTCTATATTTATACATAATCATTATATATTTACTAGTTTGAAAATAAAAATAAAAATAAAAACTAAACGGTGGAGATATATGCAGGCAAATTAAAATTTTCAATATAGGTTTATTTTAGCTTTGGTTGTAATTCTAATATTTGAACTTGTTATTTCTACAACCCCCTTGCTGGCTAGTTTTCTTTCGTTAATTTAATATCAAATTTCATAAATAATAAAAGATAAATTGTATAACGATTTGGTAAGATATAAAAGTAAAGCGTGTAATTTTTCAAAAGGATGACCGAAGAAATTAAGAAAAACAATTCATCGAAATGAGACAAAATGAAGTCATGCGGAGTATACATGTGCCATGTATTTCATCAGTTGTTTCATTCATAGCTTGAGAACATTTTCAGAGGTCTATTTATTAATTTTATTAATCTCTTAAACAATAATATAAAATTATTTTTAAAATTTTATTTAATAGTTTGATTTTTTAGATTGAGATAGTTTTTTTATATGTATCGAAGTATTAATATCAAATGTTTTAAACACTTATGATTTCAAATTTTATTATTCTATTTTTCCTTTAAGTAAATAATTAAATATAAAATAATAATAGATATATAAATTTTAAATTCAAAAAAATATAAAAATCATCATTTAAAAAATTATATTAAAAAATAATATAAATTAATTTTTAAAATCTCATCAAATAATTTAAAATTTTCAATTGAAATAGTTGTTTCACGTGATCCTCAACTATAATCCAACTCCTATCCTCATTCTCTAACATAGTCGCACTTAGGTGGCAACATCGGGGAATGGGAGAACAAAGAAAATTGGCTATTCTCACTAATTATTTTCTTTCTTCACAGCAACACTAAAAGACTAACGTAACATATTGCCTTTTCCTCTAAAAAATTTCAAAGTTAAATTGGATGTTAAAAGACTAAGACGTAACATTTTTAATTTTAAAAAGGATAACTATATAAAACAGTGATCAACTTTTATGAAATCTGAATAAAAGTTCAAGGATTGGTCTTCATACTCACGGGAGGAGGCTGCTGTTGCCCCTTGCAGCCTCTCGTAGCTCCGCCAAGACAACAAATAAGGACTAATTATACTTTACCAAAAATCTTATAATATATAAAGAATAATTAATGATATGTATAATAATTATTTTATAGATCTATTTTGAGATGAAAAATTTTATAATACATAAAAAATAACTAATGATATATATAATAATTATTTCATGAATTTATTTTAAGAAGAGTAGCACTATATTGTAAAATTTCTCCTGTGTTATTGCGTTGCCCAATCTTCCCATGCATCAAAACAGTATGCCCTTAGCTAGAAAGAATAGAGAAGTGAATCAAAATCATGGTGGGTGGGTTTCTTTGTGACTAGAAATAACTCAATTAATTGAATCACGTTTTAGTCATGTTAATTTTTCATGCTCTAAAAATAACTTTAATTTTCTCACGTCTTTGTCGTGTCATATTCTTTCGCTGTATATCCATTAATTTTGCTATAATTAATTTAATTTTTAGTCACCTTTTTCTTTGGACCAGTGCTTGCTTTTTACCAAATTCTCATCCCTTGTCCCACTCTGCCTCTCTCCACAGCCTACCACGTCCAAACACACCATACACATTCATGAACCATGAATGATCAACGAGAGAAAGTCATGATAATTAATTAATATGATGTTCTAAAGAAAATAAGTTAGTCCCTGTCGGTCACATGTAGAAACTAAACTCTTCTTTTTCTTTCTTTGATTTGTTTCAAGGGCTAAAAAAGGTTCGAAATGAAGGGTTCGATTTTGATGAAAAATATTATGCATGACAACTATAAAGTTTGACTTGTCATCCCTGTTTAATTACATTCGGTTGCCCATGCAACTTTTAAATGAAACAAGGCCCTTTTTGAAAGTACCAATAAGGGAAAGAAGCTGTCATTTCTTAATTTCTCTGGTTTAGGGTTCCATCCCAAGTCACATGACTGAAAGGATCAGTGAACATAACTAGAAACAGAGGAGGTTTGAGGATAAGAAAGAACCATATGGCGAAGGAGAAAGCATCCCGATTGCTCTTTTTGACTCACTTTTCAAACAATGCGGCCCACTACACTGACTCTTTATTACCACTGCTTCTGCGTGGGTTAAAGTCCAAATTACTAGCAGTAAAATGGTCCCTTTTTTTTTTCTTTTTTCTTTTTTGGACGCGTTTATAGGGGGTCACCGGTCAGTAATCCAGAAATGTGGGTGTTATTATTAATTTTAGTCAGTCAAGGATGTGTGTGGACAGTCTTATCAGAAAGGCCAAGGGATTGGGTCTGTTGGAGGAAGACGTGGTCAACCCGGTGGATGAATGAGTCGGTTCGAACCGAGCCATCCTACGTGGCCGAGTCAAAGAAGAAATTAAACTCTTGAGAGAAAGGGCCCCACGAAAGTCCATTTGTGTGAGTGGGCCCCACAAAAACCGTTGACTAAGGCTACTCTTTTTCACAAGAGCAAGAGGCGCCGGGCCAATAGGGGCGGTGAATTTTTGGAACGCGTCAATCTCCTCTTCTACAGTCACTCCTTTAATAAAACCCAAAAAGAAAAAGAAAAAATGACTTTGCTTCCCCTGGCCCCACTTGTAGTCACGTGGGTCCCGCTTATCAAAATGGTCCCACTGACACTTGTTTCTCTGACCAAAGCTATAACTTCACCGCTGTAGAAGAGATCATGATCTGGTGCGGGAAATTCTCAAATTCATTACCGTTCCTCTTTTTTTTTTTTTCCTTCTCAAATTTCCATGTCATTAAACACAAAAAAGTATAAAATGTCCCGCGGCGTTCAAATTCAATGGATATACAAATTACAACTTATTAATTGAAAAAAAAACAATTAACAATAATCATAAAATATTAATTTTTTTAAGTCACTATTAGTTCATCTGTGAACAATAAATTGTATTGTTTGATTATTGTTTTTTTTTTTAATCAAGAGTTTTGTTTTTGTAAAAAATAAATGTTCTTACAATTCATGTAAATAAAAAAAAATCTCAAATCATCACCGTTAGGTAATAAAAAACAACCGTATTATCAGATTTTATTAATTGAAGATATGATCACTGCATAGTTAAAATAAAAATAGTAATGAATTATAAAATTTTATATGTTTTGTTAGCCCACAGTATTGTCCATTAGTTATCACAACTAGCAACACATGTTCATGATTCACGGTCATGTGAAAATAAAGTTTACCTACCAATTTATTCTTGAAAAAAGAAGAAGGTTTAGATGCATCTATCTACATAATAATAACTTTGAAGTTCCACTCTTCACACACTAATTTGCAGAAACTTTATTTATTTATTTATTTTTGGAATGACATATTTATAGGATGTGTATTTTTGTAAACTTTTTACAGTGGAATTGCGTTCACTCAATCACGCATGGATTTTTCCAAATCCAAATCGAAAAGCAAACATTTAACACAAAGAAGTAATACTAAACACTTCTGTTCGGTCTTCTTCTAGAGTCTCTAACTCCCCCTTTTTATTGCCGAGTCCATTGCACCGTTTAAAGACTTACACACCCTCCTCTCTCTTTCTCTCTCTAGTAGTTCTTTCTCTCTTGATTTATGGCCAAAGGAAGGGGGGTGGACTCTTCATTGATTCAGATCTAAGCACTGCTAGTGGCTTCTTTCTACACAACCCAACTGTGCTCAATTCTTTCCCTGAAGAGAACATCATTAATCCCAAGTGGGAACAACTTACTGCTACCATTACTGCTAGACAAGCAATGGATGCCACAACTACTAGGTCTCCTCCTTCTACTATCCAATTCCCAGTCAACCTTATGAACACCAATGACGTCCATCATGACCATGACCATGATGCTTCTTTGCCATCTGATAATAGACGACGGACGGTCATCGATGAGATGGACTTTTTTGCTGACAAGAAACATGATGATGGTAATCCCATGTCCATCACCAACAATAGTACTGATGATTTAAAAGACTCTGGAAGTCCTGCTGGATTGGAGCTAAACGTCAACGTACGTGAATTATACCTGAGTATATGTCTTGAATGTTTCTTTTTCTTTGCTCCGTCTTAACTGTATTTCTTTTGGGTCATACAGACAGGTTTGAATCTTCTTACCACTAATACTAGCAGTGACCAATCGATGGTGGATGATGGGATTTCGTCGAACATGGAAGATAAAAGAGCTAAGAGTGAGGTACGCCAAGTAGCCAACCCCATAAAAAGATGAAAAAATGAAACTTTATACATGAAACAATTTTGAATTCTCTTTTTTGGGTGTATTTTTGGTGTTGAATTTTGATATATGTTACTATGCTATTGGTATTTGCAGCTTGCAGTTCTGCTAGCTGAGGTAGAACGAATGAAAGTGGAGAATATACGGTTGAAAGACATGTTAAATCAGGTTACTAGCAATTACAATGCATTGCAGATGCATTTAGTTACACTTACGCAGGACCAAAAGTCTCATCGCAAGAATGAACAGCATGACGGCAAAAATAAAAATAATGGGATGGTTCCAAGGCAGTTTATGGATCTTGGTATTGTTGCTGCTACTGGTGGTGGTGGTGGTGACACCGATGACCTTTCTCTATCTACATCATCAGGAGGAAGGAGCCGTGATCGATCGAGATCACCTGGAAATAATGTAGAGAATAATAATGAAGATGGGACAGTAGTGTTTGATCAAGATAAGAAGGGGTTTGGTAGGGGAACTGATCAAAAAGAGGATAGCCCAGATCAGGGTTGGGCCTCTAATAAGGTTGCTAGATTTAACTCGACGAAAAGTACTGTTGATCAAACGGAGGCTACTATAAGGAAGGCTCGTGTGTCTGTTCGAGCTAGATCAGAGGATCCTATGGTACAGCCATTTTGATTCAATTGCACACTGTTACATGCGATATTAGTTGAATTTTGATTAGATTTTGCTTAATTGATTAGAAACTTATGGTTTGTTTAGATATCCGATGGATGCCAATGGAGAAAGTATGGACAGAAGATGGCAAAAGGAAATCCATGTCCTCGAGCTTATTATAGGTGCACCATGGCAGCTGGTTGCCCAGTTCGAAAACAGGCATGTTTCCTATTGTTTCTCTTAATTATTTAAGTATCGTGTGCTTTTTCGAGAGGATTTCCGTTACATTTATAGGACTAAATGAGTTTGATTATGCAATTTGGAAAACACTGCCACTAATTCAAGAAGTTGTTTTGCTTGAGACTCATCTTGACGACTGCTATGATCAGATTATTGATTCTTGTTTTTTGATCCTTCGATCATTAATCATTTTCCTTTTCCCCCTATTAATCTGAATTGGTGTCACTTGAACAGGTACAGAGATGTGCAGAAGATCGGACGATCCTCATAACTACATATGAGGGCAATCACAACCACCCCTTGCCTCCGGCTGCAATGGCAATGGCATCAACCACATCATCGGCAGCAAGAATGTTGTTGTCGGGCTCCATGTCTAGTGCTGATGGACTAATGAACTCAAATTTCCTTACTAGAACTCTCCTCCCATGCTCCTCCAGTGTTGCCACCATATCAGCTTCAGCCCCATTTCCTACTGTTACATTGGACCTAACCCAAAATCCCAACCCTCTACAGCACCCAAAGCAACCGACTCAATTTCAAGTCCCATTTCCAAACCCACCTCAAAATCCTACCAATGCTTCCGCTGCAGCATTGCTGCCTCAGATTTTTGGACAAGCACTTTACAATCAATCAAAGTTCTCTGGGCTACAAATGTCTCAAGATATGGAACCTAATCGATTGGGCCACCAATCGCAACCTGCATTACAGCAGGGACAGCACAATCCATTGGCTGAGAGTCTGACCGCAGCAACTGCTGCCATTGCAGCTGATCCCAACTTCACTGCAGCTCTAGCAGCAGCGATTACCTCAATAATTGGTGGTGCTCACCAAAACAACCTTAATAGTACAAACAACGTCCAGACAACTACCAGCAACAGCAATGGCAACATAACTACCAGCAACAGCAATAGCAATGGCCACAATAAAATCAGCAATTCGAGTTTTCCAGGCAACTAAAATAAATTTTCATTTTTCATTTTTTCCTTTTTCAGCTGTGAAGATCCCCCCCGCCCCCCTCCCCCTTACTTTTCTCCACTGGACAAAGAGCCTATAGCACACATATCCAATTTTTTTATATTATCACTTATAGGTTTTGATATTCTTTGTTATTCGAATAATAATAATTTTTTTCCAACATTTTCCAATTGTATGTCAAAAAAAAAAAAGAGAATAGAAATCGTAAAGAGAGTATTAAATTATCTTCCTATGGTCCCCGAAGTTAAAGAAGATCATTTTGTTCTAATCTCTAGACTCTACTAGTCAAAATGTTGTTTCTACCTTTATGCCAATGAATCATATCTTTCTCTAGATGAAGCCAAACCCAGAACGAAAGGAACAAGGTAAGAGACAAAGTTAGCGTAGAGAGCATTGAATCCACTCTTTGTTGGGAGTTACGTGTGCAAATATTGCGGCCACGGAAGGATCAAGAAAACCCGTCTGGTATAGTGGTTAATGAAGGATCTAGGATCTGCTTGACACGTAAAGGTAGAGACCAGAGGGGGAGATTTGCCTGTCACAATCGTCTCTTGGCCCACTTGACAGGAGTTAGTAGCAAAGAAGATATATATAGATAAGAATTTCTAGCAACTACGTTCAATCACTCGTCAAATTTTAAAAGATGGATAGTAGTTTGTATTTTGGTGAACTGTCTGTGTGCTTTGATAGTCTAGGCTAGCTATAGTTTGCAACCTTCTGATGTGACCAGTATAGCCTAACAGCCTTAGCTGCCATTCAAGCCACTGTCCATATGCATATGATGAAATCTACGGCTTGTAAGGAAATAAAGCAAAATATAAATATATCACCCAGCAGCAGACATCCATGCATATATTAGTATAAACTGTCGCAACAGTCAATAACAGACACACTTAAAACCATTTAGCAAACAAGATGAAAATTTGAACTCCGTTTTGTCGGAGTAATATGCATATCAGATAAAAGGTATGATATCTAAAGTTCAACATTTGTTCTAATAGACAGATTTTCAAGAGTAAACACTAATTAAATTCACAATACTATAAAAGTTTAATTTGTTATTGTTATATATCACCCAGCAGCAGACATCCATGCATATATTGGTATAAACTGTCGCAACAGTCACAGCACTGCACCATAATAACAGACACTCTTAAAACCATTTAGCTAACAGGATGAAAATTTGAACTCCGTTTTGTGGAAGTAATTTGCATATCAGATAAGTAAGTATAATATATCAAGTTCAACATTTATTATAATAGACAGATTTTCAAGAGTAAACACTAATTAGATTCACAATACTATAAAAGTTTCATTTGTTATTGTACTGTTCATTATATATGGATAAGGTGAATGTTTCTTGGACCATACAAAATAATAATAATAATAATTTTAACCGAATAGATGTAATTACTGACCTTGAACTTTACTTCGGTAAAATTATCATGTGCATAATTACTAGATTGAACCTGTTTGTGTGTAGGCTGCATTTTGATAATCTATTTTTTTTTTTTTTTTTTTTTTTGGTATGGGTCTGATTCTAACTTCTAATGATGTTGAAAAAAAAATTAAAAATCTAATGGATTAGCCTAAAGATGGGCTTCCTGTCGATGGAACTCTTGTTCCATTCCGGTTGGGGGAGGCAACTCATTATATGGATCCATTCTAGGGCCTACTATTTGGGCCAAAAAGGCCCATCACTTCCAATACTGACTTCCAAGTTTCAGAGGTGGACTGGTGGCTGATGGAAAGGCCAGTAGACACGAGCCAGTGGATGGAGGCAGTTTGCGAATCAGCAATAGTCCACCGAATAGGCCAATAGAAGTGAGCCACGTCACCCACAAAAAATAAATAACAATTCATCACCGTTGAATTTAAAAGCACCCCAATCAACGATCCTTTTACCTACTCGAGAAACACGCCCAACTTCTTGTTTATATTTCGGTAAACTTCTGTTATGCCACTACAGATTTAAAAACGTTTCGATTCTACTCCTATAGTTTAAAATGTCTCAATATTACCCTTCTAGTTTTCCAAAAACTGCTAATGTTAACCTAGCCATTAAAATCCGATTTATTGAATTCGGTTTCTGAAGTTCTTCTTATGAGTTTATAAAGTGTTTTTACGAGAGATGTTACAGAATATCTATGGATCTAAGAAAAAAATGAGAGAAAATTGAGAATAAAAAATTTAAAAATCTAAAAATGATATATATTTTTTTAATTATTTAAGTTTTGTTTGGTATGATTTCACAAATTAATTTAAGTTTTTTAAAAAAAACTTTTAGCTCAAAAAAAATTATAAATATGATTGGTTAAAACAATTTTTTACTTGAATAAAAGTTTGTTATGAAATCGATTCAAAATCCTACTCTAATCAAGAGTAAATGATTCTAATTTATACAATTTATTTTTTTCAAAAAAGTTATTTTCAATCATTTTTGCTAAATTTATTTTTAATTCAAAGTCATTATAATTTATTTTTATCATAAATTATTTATGACAAATAAATTTTAAAATTATAACTCAAAGTCAAAAGTTATTTTTAACGTTACGAATTTTAGAATTAAGAATAAAATTTTGAATTTAAAAAAAAAAAAGTATGCTGGTAGTATTGCAAAATTATAAACCATGTGGATAGAAATGAAATATTAATGAATCTACGAGGGAAAACCTATAAGTTTACCTCCTTAAATTCTTAGCCTCTTCCACTCAATTTCCAAGCTTCTTTTGTCTGATTTTCGTCTCCCACTCCTCTTGCTTGACTCGGCTATGGCCACTCGGTTAAACGCCATACGGATCGCTCTTCTTCTTCTTCTTTTGTCCCCATTAGTTCTCTCTGCACGCGATGATGGGACGATCAGAATTGGACTGAAGAAGAAGAAATTGGATCAACCCAGTCGGGTTGCAGTTGACTCCATCTCCAAGGAAGAGGGAGGAGCATCGAAACCTCCGGCTACCAAAAAGTATTACCATCTCGGAGAAAGCGAAACCGATATTATCGCGCTAAAAAACTACTTGGATGCTCAGTATTATGGTGAAATAGCTATCGGCACACCTCCTCAAACTTTCACAGTTATATTTGATACAGGAAGCTCTAATCTTTGGGTGCCCTCATCAAAATGTTATTTCTCGGTAAGTCTGTCAAACTTGTCTTCCTTACTTCCTTCAAGTTATTGCCTGTTGTTTTTCTTTAATAGTTTGCATTTGGGTGCAGCTTGCTTGCTATTTCCATTCCAAGTATAAGTCCAGTGGATCAACCACCTATGTCAAGAACGGTATGGTCCCTTTCCTTTTTTTAGGAATTCACTGCTTCATATGTTATGGAGTGATATTTTTCTTGAGGTTTATTCATTGATGCAGGTACTTCTGCTGCAATTCATTATGGAACTGGTTCAATTTCTGGTTTCTTTAGCGAGGACAACGTCAAAGTTGGTGATCTCGTTGTTAGGAATCAGGTAAATTGTGCATTTTTTTTAATTGTTTCAGTTAACTATTGTTGCTAGTGTTTCCCATCCTAATTTGTGCTGCTGGTTATTAGCATTTGATTGAGGCAACAAAAGAACCAGGTATCGCATTCTTGGCTGCCAAGTTTGATGGTATACTTGGACTTGGATTTCAGGAGATATCAGTTGGTAAAGCCGTTCCTGTTTGGTAAGTTGGATTTGGCTCAGCTGTTAATACAACAATTGCATTGTTTAAAAGTTTTTTGACGCTACAGGATGAAGTGTGTTTTTTTTTTTATTATTCTTTTGCAAGTAGACTGTTTTCTTTCAGTTTTGGAATTTTAGAACTATATTACCGTTACTTGTTACGACCTCTTTATGTAATTGTTATTATTATGCATTTCGTATAGGTACAATATGGTCAATCAAGGTCTTGTTAAGGAACAAGTTTTTTCATTTTGGTTGAACCGCAATGTTGAAGGGGAAGAAGGGGGAGAAATTGTGTTTGGTGGGGTGGACCCTAATCATTACAAGGGCAAGCACACATATGTTCCTGTGACTCAGAAGGGGTATTGGCAGGTTGGCTTCGAAAATTTTATCATTCTTTCAATTGTCCTTACCTATTCATAATCTTTTATTTTTTTGTTTGATTATCTGTTTCTCTAATTCGCAGTTTGATATGGGAGACATATTGATTGGCACTGAAACAACCGGTAATAATATAGCACTTTTTGCGTGTGCTTATCATCTAGACTCTGGGGACGTTTGCTTCTTGTTACAGATTTTGCATATATGCTTGTTCAGGTATTGAGGATATGAATATTGCTTTTCAGGATTGTGTGCTGGTGGGTGTAAAGCAGTTGCTGATTCTGGAACCTCTTTGCTGGCGGGTCCAACAGTACGTAATTTAGGCAGTTATATCTCCTCGTTTCCCTAGTGAATACATAATATGCTGACTTATTGCATGATCAGTATTCGGAGTAGTATAATTTCACCTGTGAAAGTAGATGAGTTATCTTATCCATTATAGGATTGGATTATTGCATTATTTGAAATATCGTTGTATGTGTGTTTGAATCTCTTAACATTTTTCTTGACAAAAAAGAATGCTTAAAAGAAATAGAAAATTACGAAGGGAGACTGAGGCACCCTTCACAACAACTAATAATAATAATAATAAATAGACATATAAATAATAAAAACAAAAGAGCTCTCCAACCTTGTTGAATCTCAAGTAATGATGCTTCTTCATATACTCACAATGTGGATCTTAAAGATGCTAGAAAACTATTCTATCCTACTGTCATTACCTAGAGGCATCTTGATTCTTGAAATTCTGGAATTTTTCTCCTTCCACAAACTCCATATCACCACTTACATAGTGCACTTATGAAGAGTCTTGAAATCCTTACCCCTTCCAAAACAGAAAGGTGCACCAATTCTCGTCATTTATGACATATGGTATAGGCTATTTTGCTACCAAAAACCATGGAACAATACAAGAAAAGATGAGCCTATGTTTCTGCATTGTTGAGGAGCACAACTTACATTTTAATATTATAATATACAGATGCAAATGACAAATGATGTGATATGCTTCATTATCATATTCATATGATATTTTTGTCTATGTCATTGGCTTGAAATAGCACAACTACCAGTTTCAGCAAGCCACCGGTGATGTTTTATAGCTTATCTCTGAAGAGCATCCCAAGATGGGTTTCATATTTATTATTTTCAAATTTGAAGTATGTGATATATTCGTTTTCTTTATAAACAAATGCGGTGGCTTTGAGAAATTCTCCTAGAATATGTCCGGTTTTCAGGTCACTTTATTGTCCTTTGACTTGAGCACAATTTGCAGTGAATTATTACTGCTTCATTTTCTTAGGGAATATGTTGGTTCCTTTCACTTTCTTTTCCTTTTGATACATCTGTGTGATTCAATGAGCAAGTAGTTACCATTTTTAAAAATGTTTCACCACACAATTGCGATAAACTTTTTTTTTTTTCATTTTAGTGATTTAATTATATCATCGGTTGGTTGAACATGGGTTAGCTTCAGTTGATTTTGCAATTATGTTCTTAATGACTTGGAAAGATCTTTTATTTGATTTTACCTTATCATTTCATAATTTCAGACTGTGATCACTCAAATTAATCATGCGATTGGAGCCTCTGGCATTGTAAGTGAAGAATGCAAGACAGTAGTTGCACAATATGGGAAAATAGTACTGGAAATGCTGGTGGCTCGGGTGAGTATTGTAGGTTCTCGGTTTTTCTTGCAAGCTTGATATAGCTTGTTAAAAAATTTGTTATTATTTCTAGGCTGGCTAAACTTTATTGCAAAACTTCTTTTAATGAAGTAGATTCTGTTTTGTTCCACCTTTTCATTTAATCTTTCTTTTTCTGTAGGCACAACCACAAAAGGTGTGCTCTCAAATTGGCTTCTGTACTTTTGATGGGACTCAGGGTGTTAGGTCAGGTTCAACTCATTGTTGCTATTAATATTTTCTCATACTATATATATTAGTTATTTGATTGGATACTTCTGCTGCACCAATGGAATCATGATTTAAGGCAACTCTATGGTTTCAGTATGAACATTGAGAGTGTGGTGGAAGAAAGCTCAGACAAATCATCTGATGGTCTGCATGATGCCATGTGTACAGCTTGTGAAATGATGGTTGTATGGATGGAAAATCGGCTCAGGCTTAATGAGACTGAAGATAACATTCTGAATTACGTGAATGAGGTAATTTTGCTTCTTCTTTTAGTTCTGTGGGGGAATGGGGGCTAGTGACAACTAATGCCAACAATTGCAATTGCAGCTCTGTGACCGATTGCCCAGTCCAAATGGAGAAGCAGCAGTTCAATGTAGCAGTCTATCCACCATGCCCAGTGTCTCATTCGAAATTGGTGGTAAATTATTTGAACTGTCACCTGAGCAGGTATGGCAATTTTGTTTGGTATATTTATTTTGCTCCAGCTATTGCGTTCAAACTTTTTCATATTTCATTTCATTTTAGTTTATTAAGCTTATAGGTAGTTGGTTAATTGCAAGTGTTGATCTGTCTGTTGAAATTTATTTTGCCGCACTCCTCCCCAATGAAATGTCTGTCAATCTACCTTGTGGAAATATACTGTCATGTACGTTGTCATGTATATATGATCTCTGGTTTCTGAAACATTTCTGGATTTACATATCCCTTGAATGGTTCAGTGCACACTTTCCCCTGTATATGTATAGCAGGCATACCTATGGGTTGTCGTAAATGTGTAATGGCTGGTAACCTGATATGGTGGCAGAAACAAACAGATGCCACCGCACAGCTAAATACATACACATTTTCTTGCTATTTACATGGTGCTGTGTCAAATTACAACTATGAGATTAATCAATGAC